TTGAGTTATTCGCTGAGGAAGCTATGAATAAATATCTAATAGAAAAATGTTTAGGTATAGAAGGTACAGTAATAATAAATTGAGATGCAGAAGATGAATATTAAAAGGAATATTTCTCCCAAACTCTCTTGGCATTAGTAAAGATTATTAGATAAGCTGCTTTTTCTTGGAACTAGAGAAGAAATTATCTCTAGCTCCTCTAACCAAAGACGAGGGCAATAGAGTACAGCTCATAACTTACATTCCCAAAGTAAGAGACCCTTTTGGCCTAAAGAAAAGCAAAAGCAAATATATGTACAATTGAGATGTTTGATATGAGTAAACCTGTATTCAGTGAGTTGCACTGTATAATAATGACTTTTAGAAATTCCATTTTATATCATTATACCAGCATCTAGATAGAAATATTAACAGCTGGAGACTTTTTTAACTTCGAAGAATAATCATGGTGCCATAAGAATAGTAGTTAAAAAAAAAAAGAATAGTAGTTAACTCAATATTGTTCATGAAAGAAAACATTAAGATGCTTAATTTCTAAGATATATTAGTTTTTCTTTAACCTTATTTTAGTAGAGCATCAGATGGGTATTTTCTATGTGTGAGTTTACCACAGTAAGCTGTTGCAATGTTTCATTATTAAGAAAGCTAAGGTCTTATTTTATCAGTAATGTGGATTAGTTTTATCTTTTCCCAACCCACCGAACCTTTAAGATTAATGCAGTTATAAAGAATGAATTAATTTTGAAATGATAACATTGACAAAAGTATAAAGTATAGTTCACTTGAGCTCTTGGCTTATTTGTGCAAATCATTTCCTCCTATTGTAAATGTTCTAATTAATAGGCAATTTCTAGTTTGTGCAGGGCCCATCATTGTTATAGAGGTCACAAATACATCTAAACATTTGGTGATTATACCCAGATACTTAAGGAACCATACTATTAAAAGAAATTGAAGGGTTTCTCATTTGTTAGGACTATTAGGAAAGAATTTCTTGCTTTCTGTATCTTCAGTGTCTAGATAGTATATATCACATAATGAGCATTAAATGAAAGATTGAAAAATGATTTTTCAGCCAAGACAGTTCAATAATGTGTATAAAAGTATGTAAATATAAATCGTAAGAAGTGCTTGAGAGGATGTGGCCAATATCAGAGTTAACTAGTACTATTAATAAGATGATTTTGTCAAGAATAAGTTAAGTAGTATGTACTTGTGAGATACAGATAACTTTCAGGACAGCCAGTAGACATTCCAGAAACATATGCACACATGTGGTTAACTTGTACAGTCCAAGCATTATGTGCAGAAAACCAAGTTATCCTAGAGAGTTGAGGATGAAGTCTTCTCACACAATATGAGTTAGAGTCAGATATCAGAAATACAATGTAGAAAGAAAATCATCAAGGAAAGATTTAAATTAGTCAGCAAGACTCTAGTTTTGATGTTCAATCTTTGTGTGTTTGAGCATATAGGCAAAATATAATTACATAGGAATGGCTCAAAATTCAGAATGCTGAGCAGGATCAAACAGAAGAATATGATTCTTATACTATAATGTTCTTTCTATAAGAATTACTAAATATATTAACCTCTCAGAACAAGATATGTTTCAGTAGAAGCTAGTGGTGATGGCAAGGGGTAATTTCTCTGAACATATCTCAATAATTTACCAGTTGGATCTTATAAGGGCATCACCTCTGCAATGTATTTTATCATATAATTTTCTCTCTAATTCTTTTTAAGAATATATATTTGTTTTATGTGATTACTAAAATGGAAAATTTAAAAAATGAGTTTTATTTTTCAATTGAATGTTAAAATGAATTTTAGACTTTATTTGCCCCAGCCAAAACTAAATTAAAACAACTAAATATGCACAATTTGCATAAATGTCAATGTAGACCCACTTTACTAACAAAGACTCCATGTTTTCTTTCATTCTGTAGGTGAAAAATAACATGGTTTTGCACAAATGAACAAGAAGGTGACAGAGAAGTAAAACACCAGGGTTTAGATGAAGAATAAAATACAGAATTCTGTATATTGTTGTATCTCCTGAAAAACTAACTCTGACTTTTTAGATAAAAAACAAGAAAGCTAAATTAATTTACTTTTTACTGTTAATTATGTTATATATTTCATTCTATTTGATGTTCATTGTGACCCTTTTAAAAGAATACTATTATTTTCAATTTTCAAACAATGACTCTGAGGCTCAGAATGCTCAAGGATATTGTGCATGATCATATGTTAGCAAGAAAAAAAGCATCAATGTAACTCTCCTCTGCCTTGTTTTATTCATGCAGTAAACATTTATTCATCATCTAAAATAGGCCAGAATTTAAGTAAATTAGTAATTTAGGTAAAGAATTCAATAGTTGTAAAGTTATTGTCAAAATAATTTAGAAAGCCCCTTTATATGTAGGGCTTGGATGGAGAAAACAAAGAACAAAATTGTTTGGAAGACAGGTCTTAGGTTTAAGACATGAGTGGTTTTGAAGTTATGGTTAGAAGTTATTTTTCTGGAGATAAGTTTAGGTAGAACTAAATAATTAAAAATTTGATATTGTGTTAATAGACTGTGCGTTGTACAGGTTTGTAATGGTAGAAACTGATCTTTGGAAGGTTAGGAAAAGGAGTTTAAAGTAGGCAAATGAATAGGTAATGAGTAAGGAAATTAAGATAGAAGCAAAAAAGAAAAGGGAAATAAGTACAGAGAAAGAGATGAAAGCAGAAGGAAAGAAGAATAAAAGGAAGAAAGAAGATGGGATACAGAAAAAACAACTGGTAAAGATCTTAGCATCATATACACTATTCTGATTTAATGCTAAGCCAATTGTTTCATACATAGGGATCTATTCGGGTAATACATAAAGTGTAATATTACATTAATGTACATAGTTATCGTTCAATAAAAAAAAAAAAAGAAAAAAAGAAAAAAAATATTACAAACACATCATAAAACATCATGTACAATTTAATAAGGTTTAACATCAGGTTCAAAAATTAAGACCACCTAAGTTAATACATTAGGTTTTTAGTAGTCTTTTAATTATGGTTCACATAATGTCTTAAAATTTTCATCATGTCACAATTTTTTTCATAAAATATCTAACTTTTCACGTTACCAAAGTAAATAATGGATGTTACTACCAAGACTCAACAGACTAATTAGAATCAGTTTCATATTTGTAGTGAAGTCATTAAAGAGTTATTTCTTTGTCTAAGATATATTTTTTTCTCATAAAATCAAAATTGTAAAGTCTTCTTCCAGAATAAAAAAAAAAGACCCTATAATTTCCTTTATGAGGAAGGTGGATGAAGATGAGGAAAGCAGACATGTATAGTGAATGAATTCACACATTAATATTTTAGTTTGACTGTAAGAAATTAGTTTTTGTTTTGCTATTTATGTAGACTTGAATCTTAAACTATTTATCTTATGGCATCAGCAATTAATTATACATTAATAACTAGTTACAAAATATTGAAAGCATCATAAATTAAAAGGAATTAGAAAAGACATTAAAATTATATAATCTAGTGATGATTAAAAGTTTTATAGCATAAAAACTGTTTATTCAAATAACTTCTGATGTAAAAATCTGATTATAAAAAATATGCCATGGTGGGAAAAATAATTTAATATGCTTTCAGATATCTAGATTTGAAGAAAATTAAGAGGCCAGAAAATATATTGGCTTATGTTTCTAGAAATTTTATTAAGCAATGAAGTTGTGAGATGCCATCACAGAATAGACAGAAACCAGGTACTAAATCACTTTTATATAAAAATTAGGGGCTTTTGAAAGATAGAGATGGAGTGGAAAATACTACACATAAAGATAATTTTAGGATGAGATGATTACCTTGGAAAAAGGTAAGAAAGAGAGAAGAGAAAAGAAAAGAAATCTGCAGCAAAGAAAAGCAGGAAAGTAGAACTCAAGAAAAATTCTAAACCTGCTTTATTACTTGTTCAAGTTAGAAAAAAAAAAATTGAAGTCTTAACTTAAAATTCTCCCTCAACACTTTTAATTAAATGTGAGAGGAATCAGGCCATGCTCCCATGAACCTGAGAAGATCAAACAAAATTCTTCCTGGAAGAACTGCCACATGATCTAGCTTCAAGAATCACCCCAGACAGAGTTAAACAATGACAAACTCACAATCAAAAATTACAAAACACATAAGAAAAAAAGCTATGAATAGGAATTAGCTGAAACAACTAATAAGAGAATCATACCTATTAAGATAAATTGAAGAGGTCCAGTAAAAGGAGTTAGGTTTACGAGAGAGCATTGATTTGTACTTGGCTCCTACACTGAGACTAAGAGATCAAATCAATGTGGAGTTTAACTATAGTAGTTGAGCTTTAGTTAATTGAAAAAGGCTCTGTAATCAATTAATCAATCAAGCTGCAGCCAATTAAGTTGTCTCTATACTGTAGCTTCCATTTTCTATAAGTGCTGTCAGGTCATGTAATTAGTTGGAGTTTCCTGAATCTGCTTTGGTTCAAAGGACTGACCAATTTGCAAATTGTGATTATTATTATTATTATATTTTTGCTCTGTTTTGTTTTGCTTTGCTCAAATAAAGTTAATTAAATTTTTGACTTCTCTAAGGATTTTTATGTTTAACAAGATAAAAAAGTTGAATTTAAAAAATCTAATAAATTTGACAAATCTCCAATAGCACCAATACACCAATCAAGAATCTAAAAAGAACATACAAATACATACTATTATTAATTAAAATACAAGTAAAGCTGCAAATGCTACAGATATAAAAAGACAGGAAAAAACTAAAACTTTCTTTGAAAAAATTTTAAACAGGAAAAATGAGAAGTTACTAATAAATGTAGCTTTCCAAAACTAATTTTTTTAAAAAACCCTTAATAGTATGAAACAATACAAAATTAAATTCATAATTTTAATTCTTTTCAGAAAAAATACAAATGCTCTAATCGAATCTGTTAAAGTGGGGATTCAGAAGCTTACCATTTGTTCCTGTTGTCTACTTCCCTTTGGGATACATGTAGAACAAAAGTCATGTGATCACATTAGGTTGCCAATGGCCAATGTTTGTTTTTTCACACAAACATATGTAGCAATTCTTCCTGAAAGGTTTATAAGAGGACAGTCTATAAAACACAAATTTGGTCCAACTTTTTTATCTGATATGAAAGCACATTGAGAATAAGAGAAGTTGGCATTTTTCAGTGTTTCTAAATGTTTTTATACTTTGATCACACCAAAAGTCTCAACTTTATTTTAGTATAATACTATTTTTGCTGAAAGAAAACCATCAGAAATAGCAGCTTATTTCCAATAGGTATATGTGGTTTAAAAACTTGAACTCCAGATGCATTTACAACACCAAACACAGAGGAAAGTCATCTTACTCTCTAATTTTTAGAAAATAATTTGTGAAATTGGAATCTAAGATACCACTTAAAACATGAAGAAAAATGTATTCGTGGGTGAAAAATATCAATAGTTTACTACTACATATGCCTTTCCTACAGTGAATTATTTAAGTAAGTAAATATTTATTGAATATCTTTTGTTTCAAAATAGTTATAAGTAGGGAGTTATAGTTAACTGACATAGCAGAAGACAAATGATTTGCAAGTTACCTGATTAAGATGACAGATAATAAAATACATGAAAGTGTACATACTTCCATGTACACATCTACAATGACTAAATATTTGCCAAAATTTTTTTACTAGAATTTATCTACATTCACCAATGTAATATAATACAAGTATATGTAATAATAATAGATTTTTAAACTATGTGAAAATGTTTTATTTAATTATGGTCTTTATACAATTAATAATTCAAGAAATGTAGATCATAAGCTTTTTACAGCACTGCTTAAAGCTAGAAGAAGGATTTTCATTTATCAGTATTTAAATATTCATTAACATTGCCTGTAGAAGAAGTATATAGGGAAACAAATTATAATTATGATTAAAATTTTCTTATGCATTGTTATTAATGGTTAATATAATGTAAATTATTTAGACATAAAAGTAACATATTCAAGCATTTAATAAGCAAAAGTTACCATATTTAAAATTTTTGACATGTTAAAAATGCTTAACAAATTTGTATATTAACTAAATCAATATTTTCTTATTTTTCATCATTAAAAGGCTATATACTCAATTTCCCAGTATAATTTGATACCTGTGTTTCAATTTTAAAGCCACTCTTTTTAATAGACATGAAAGAAATGTTATGATAAGTAGTTAGTATAATGTAAACCTATCATTGCATGTGTTGAAGTTATAAACTGCTCTCTTTCTGATATATACTTATATATGTACATAAACTTGCTAGAAAAAAGTAATAAAACTTTCCCTTTTCCTATCATTTCAAAGTTTGGTATTCTATTATGATAATAATCATTACTACAACAAAAACAGCAGCATATAATAGCACTATTAACTCAAGAACCTAAAACAGCAACTACATTAATTATATTCATTATACTTAATTGAACATAATCATCTAACCTAACAATTCCTTGTATAATAATTAATAAAACAGCATGTCTTCAGAATCAGAAATATATAAAAATGGTCTTTCTTTTTGAGATAATTTTTGATGAAATGTGTGAACTATAATTTAGTATATACAGAAGATGACAAATTATATTTAATTTTAATGTTATAATTTTAACACATTTAGTGTCATATTCTTACCAGTAACAATGACTAAAGAACACAGTAGAAAATATTTTTTCAGAAAAATATAAGCAAATGTTTTCTAATAGTTTGGGGAGGATTTTTATTGCTCTTATTAGCAGGTGATTCAGGAGAGTTTGCTACCCGCAGTAGTTGCTCCAGTTGTCATCTCTCCCATCAAATGCCCCAACCAAATCTATCCAACCACACTCCAGTACCTGTCTGTGCACCCTAAGAAAATATTCATCACAACTTTATCTCTGCAAATAACAATATAAACTAAATATCATTCTGTTTTCACATTTCTCTGCATGAAAGAAGTGTCCTCACCCTCCATGGATAAGGGCACTTACAACAAGGCCAATAACGAATACTATTACTGCTATATTCCACTGAAAATTTTCTATTCCTCTCTTATCTTCCCTGAAACTCTTACCCTGAGTTTTCTTCTCAAACTCTCTCCTCTCTTATTTTCCAGGGCATCCTTACCTCCAGGATTCTTCCTAATTTTCTTCATGACATTTTTCTCCTATTCAATGCCAACTTCACCATTATTATTCACTCACTCCCTTGGAAGTTTGTCTTTCCTTTCATCAAGTAATTTTTACTTAGATGTTTATCAGGCAGCTCAAATCCAATTCCGAATTGATGGCATCATCTCATTCTCTCAACCCCCTAATAGTAACCCAAAGACTTCTCTCATACTTTCTCTAACATATAAATGATGTGGCATTTCATCCAATCATTCAATCCAAAAATGAGAGAGACATATAGACCCTTTCATACATAATCTGTATACAGTTCCTATAAATATTATTTGCTCAATATTTTCTTCAAATATACTGTTTTTTTCTATCAAGAAGAAAACCATAGACACAATTTCATTTTAAGCCCTTGTTTCTGGCTGAAAGCAGCCTAAAGAGAAGATTTCCTATTTTTAAACTTTCTCCTTACAATCTATTTTTCTACACATAAGCAAGAGTGATGTTTTTATTAAATACATTGGAAATAAGATGTGAGCAATTGTCTGTTTGAAATAATCCAATGTATTTAAAATTTGACATAAATATGTTTTAAAATTTTTTATGTTTTTACTGTTTTTTATTTTTTAATTTTTTAATAATTCATATTTGGGGCAGTACCTGTGGCTCAAAGGAGTATGGTCCCAGCCCTATATACCAGAGGTGGTGGCTTCAAACCCAGCCCTGGGTCAAAAACTGAAAAAAAACCCCACATATTTTTACATATTTATGAGGCACATGTGATAGTTTGATGCATGTATATGATTTGTAATATGATATCAGGATAATTAAATATCCATCACTTCAAATATTTATCATTTCCTTGTGTTGGAAACATTTAAAATTTTCTCTTCTATTTTGAAATCTATAATATAGTCTCATTACTTATAGTCATGCTATTCTTGTATCAGACATCACACCTATTCCTTCTGACTGTGTATTTGTATTCATCAATAAATCTTTCTTCATACTCTTCTCTCTTTCTCCCTCTCTCTCATGTACACACACACACACACACACACACACACCCCTTCCCATCCTCTGGCAACTCTGATTCTACTCTTTACCTTCATGAGACCAGTTTTTTAGCTCTCACCTATGAAGGAGAACAAGCAATTATTTGCCTTTTTGTGCTTAGATTATTTCACCTAACATAATGACCTCTGCTTCTATCCACATTGCTGCAAAGAATAACATTTCATTTTTTTTCTTTTTCTTATGGCTGAATAGTATTCCACTGTGTGTGTGTGTTTGCGCCCATGTGCTCGTGTGTGTGTGTGTGTGTGTGTATCACATTTTCTATATGCTTTCATTGGCTCAAGGTCACATGGGTTGATAAGGTTGACTCCCTATCTTGGCTACTATGAATAGTGTTTCAACAAACATGGGGGTATAGATAATTTTTGTCACTTTGATTTCTTTCCCTTTGGACAAACACATGTATGGAATTGTGGAACCATATGATAGTTCTATTTTTAGTTTTTTGAGAAAACTCTATACTATTTTTTCATAATTTCTATACTAATTTACACTCCTGTAAACAGTGTATAAGAGTTCCCTTTTCTCCACGTGCTTGCCATCATTTGTTATTTTTAATCTTTTTGACAATAGTCACTCTAACTGAGGTAATATGATATGAGATAAGATGATATTTCATTGAGGCTTTGGTTTGCATTTCCATGTGGATTAGTGACATTGTACACTTTTCCATATACTTTTGGGGCATTTGTATGTCCATTTTTTAACAGGATTTTTGGGGATTCCTTTTAAATTACTATTTGAGTTCCCTGTAGATTTTGGGCATCTGTCCTTTGCTGGATGAATAGTTTGGTAACATTTTTGCCCATTCAACATATTGCTGCCACACTATTTACTGGCTCCTTTGCTGTGAAAAAGCTTTTCAGTTTAATACACTCCCATTTGTCTATTTGTATTTTTGTTGCTTGTGCTTTTTAGCTCTTAGTCATGACATCTTTGCCTAGACCAAAGACTAGACAAAGTGATCTTTAAACATTTCTCAACTAATACTCTTTCTCTCGGCTCCCTGAACTCCGCTCTTCTGACTCTATTCAGTCCTGCAGAACAACAGTGTGCAAGAAAGCTGCCTGGGAGCATGGAGGCCCCATCACGTGCCTCATTTGCACTTAGCTGACAGAACCAAAGGGCAGCCTGTTCCAGATTATATACCTCAAGGGCCATGTGACTTTCTGGGAAAAGCTTTGAAGAACATCCTGTTCCTAGGGAGAGAAAAGCAAAGCCCAGACTTTTCTAGACAGTTCGTCCCTGACTAAAGTTGTTGTAGTCTGTAGGAGGGGCACAGAAGGGCACAGAAAAAGACTAGGCTATTTCAGGCAGCTGCTTCCGATGTAAGGATGTTACATCCCCAGTGTATTCTACAGTGATTCTGAGAACTATAGACAGACAAATGCTGGGAGGGGAAGAACTGGGTTAGTCCAAAACCACCCAGAGAACTGGCCTGTATATGAAAGTGTGAAACTAACTATAAAAATAATAATGTAGTCAAATTCAGAAGATGCTAATCCTGTAATGATAGTGAGTAAATCAATTTTAGCTCTAATATTAAAAGGATAAAAATTTTAAAAATATCTACACTATGTACAATAATTTGTTAATTGATACACAATTATATTTTTGAAAACAAATGGTGACATTGATACCATAAGAAATGCGGGGAAGAGAAGTTAAAATGTAGAGTATTTTTATGGAATCAAAGTAAAGTTGTTACCAGCTTCAGTTGTCATCAATTTTTATAACTAAAAGATAGTGATGTAAGGCTTTTAATAACTACACATAAAATGAAACACTTGTAGTAGGTATGCAAAAGATAAAAGAATTATGTCACAAAGGTAGACAGAAAAAGAACTATAATATAGCAAATAAAAAGTTGTAAAATAGCAGTATATGTCCTTATCTATTGATAATTATTTTAAATATAATGTAATATGTTCTCTACTTAAAAGACATAGAGTTACTAAATGGATTAAAACAAACGAACAAAAACTAAACAAAAATACTTACCTGGCAGGGGAGATACCGTGATCGCGACGGTGGTTTTCCCAGGGCGAGGCTTATCCATTGCACTCTGGATGTGCTGACCTCTGTGACTTCCCCAAATGTGGGAAACTTGACTGCACAATTCCTGGTAGTGGGGGACTGTGTTCACACTCTCCCCTAAAAAAAATAAATCTAAACAAACATCCAAGGTCCAGTTATCTTCTGCCTGCCTTCAAGAGACTCACTTTAGCTTTAAGGGAAGGTGAAAATGAAGGGATGGAGAAAGATATTCTATGCAAACCATAAGTAAAAAAAGAGCAAGGGTGGTTCTCCATACCTCACACAAAATAGACATTAAATCAAATTGTCACAGTAGAAAAGAAGGCTTTATATTATACTAAAGATGTCAAATTATCAAGAAGAGTAGCAATATGTGTATATTTAAGAGGGAAGTAATTAGGAATTCGACATTTTCTAATTTGAAAATATTCTGACAAAAAAAATCATTTAATGTGAACATTTTAATGACTGAGCAAGTCTGGCTTTGGCTCGACACCTGTAGCTTAAGCGGCTAGGGCGCCAGCCACATACGCTGGAGCTTGCGGGTGTGAATCCAGCCCAGGCCTGCCAAACAACAATGACAACTACTGCCAAAAAATAGCGCGGCGTTGTGGCAGTGTGCCAGTAGTACCAGCTACTTGGGAGGCTGAGGAAAGAGAATCTCTTAAGCCCAAGAGTTTGAGGTTGCTGTGAGCTGTGATGCCACAGCACTTTACCCAGGGTGAAAGCTTGAGACGCTGTCTCAAAAAAAAAAATTATGTGTATGTATATATATATATATATACACATATATATATATCTAGTCTCACAAATTGCAGATCATTATAGAGAAATAAATTTAGTTAGCGTATATGTGAAACATGTTTTCTTTTAAGTTTTGAATATTTCTATAAATTTTAGAATTAGCATTATAGGGAAATTATAGAACTGATATTCAGTTATAGTTACAGTTACTAAAATAAGCAATAACACTTTCTAATTCAAATACTTTCTAAGACATTCTTGTATGGGCAAGGCACTGCGAGGGGTACAATAGAAACAAGGAATCCAAAGCTAGAATATGAATTCTAGTTTCTGGATACTTGGAGTTTGCATTCCAGTGAAGGAGAATCTACATAAGGAAACAATAATACCAAATTTTGGTAAGGAATATAATATAAATATATGTGAATTAGTAGCTAAGAACATGGAACGTAACATAGAGATACAGACCCATGTATGTTAGAGAATTGAGTTTAAAGCAGAAATAGGAGTTAGTCACTAAATAGCTAGTGACGGTGGAAGCAAAGGAATTAAAATAAAAGAATTTTAGTAATAAAACCTGAGATATGATGTGGCCATGTCCTCTGGCTGTGATAAAGTACCACAGAATGGGTGGCTCAAAACAACAGAAATTTATTCTCACAGTTTCTGGAATCTATAAGTCTGAAATCAAGGTGTCAGGATACAGAGTTTTTACATTCTGAGGGGTATCTGCCAATCTCCTGGTGACAGTTCAGGGAATCTTTGGTGTTTCTTGGATTGTGGACCTATCACTTTAATCTCTACCTTCTTAAAAGAACACTGTTCACATTGGATTAGAGTCACATCTTACTGTAGTATAAGGGACTTCTCTTAACTAACTACATATGTAACCACTCTGTTTACAAATAAGATCATATTCTGAAGTGCTGAGGGTTAGAACTTAAACGTATCCTTTTGAGGGGGAACTCAGTTCAGTTAATAACATAAAAGTTAACACATATTCAGCAATAAGAAAGTATACATGAGTGTCAAACCTGTGACCAGTCGGCCGCCTCTTGATTTTATGAAGGCTTCTTTGCTAGCTGTGGTGGCAGCTATCTTGAAAATTATTCGCAGACCTTTTATGTTTGCTCATCACCTTTCATTATTGTTTGTGTATTTAATATGTGATCCAGTACAAGTTTTATTCCAATGTGGCACACAGAAGCCTGAATGTTGGACTGCCTTGAATACAATGTGCATTTTATAATATCACCATGTGACAGTTCATATTATAATCTTTATTTTATGGACTTAACATAATTTTCCCAAAGTCGTGGGGAGACTTAAGTGATGGGTCATCCCTCCAACACCAAAGCAAGCTTAAAACCAAGTTTTTCAATCGCAATGTTTTTCTTGCAAATATTTCAACTTAGTTGGACCCATGCATGGCACATGACAACAGAGAATTTGGAAAGGGACATATTTGAAAATAAGATGGAATTTGCATTTTATTTGGAGGCTATTAAAAATTATTTATTTATTAATCATGATCAGATCTATATTTTGTTTGAAAAAATTTTACAGACGTTTGGAACACAGTCAATTGAGAAAATATTGGAAGAAAGAGATAATTTAGAAGATTGTGCAATATTATCCAAGGGATCATGCATGCTTGAACCTTGGGAGCTAGGAGGTTCTATAAGGTTGAAATGTGGGCACAGATGAATGAATAATTCAGAGATGCCACTAAGATTGAATTGATCTACCCTCCTGACCATTTTGCACTGGCAGAAACTAAAAATTGATACATAAAGGAACTACTATTAACATTTAAAACCCAGATGAATTATGGAATGAATATATTAATATCTACTATTGACTCACTCTAATATTTGAAAATAAATGTATAAGATTTAATAAAGATAATATAATAATATTTATGTTTTTATGTATCTCATGCATAGTATCATGCTAGAACACCACCATCCATTGAATATAATAGATTTTATAAATGAGCCACATTGAAAATTTAAAAAGAAAAAATTGAAATTAATGTTAATAATATACTTAGTTTAACTCAACATATTCTACATATTACAATTGCAACATGAAATTAAAATAAAAATGTTTTCCAATTTTTTCCAAATTGTCTTCAAAATCTACTGTTCATTTTACACTTAAAACACATATCAAGTGAAATGTGACACGTTAAATGGCTCCAGTGGTTTATGGACAGTATTATTCTAGAAAATACTGTTGCTTATCATAAAAAAGTATGCATGCAATTGCCACAGTGATGAAACAATACCCACGTGATATCTAAATTTAAAACTTAGCTTTACCAAAATGTCTAAAATAAGGAGAATTAATTTTTTCATCAATTTGACCTTCTGTATAGTTTTACCATAACCATATGCAAAAGATCCAAGACCACTCTGGTTCTTAGGAAAGGTAGTCACAGAAAAAAAATTATATTAATTATCAATAGTAGCTAACAATTCAATATATAAATAAACATACCCCTAATATGACATTTCTAGGTAAATTTAAACCCCATATGATGAGAAAATAGGAGTTATATTTTGATTTTTTAAATGATATTTTCCTTTAAAAAGGCCAGCTCTCTTGGGGGGAGAAGGGCATTCTGAAAGTTCAACTTTTCCTTCTTTATTATTTTTATTAACTTAGTCAACACATTTATCTTTTTTGCTTTGTGGCTGCAACTATGATGATGCTATGTTTCTTAAATCCTAATATAACAGTTGGAACTACTAGAGTTTTTCCTGACTACACCATTGAAACCAATGGCATGGTATATGTAGATATCTAAAATTTGATGCTTAGTGCCTGTCTTAGTCTGTGTTGTGTTGTTGTAACAGAATAGCTGGGGCTGGGTAATTTATAAAGAATAGAAGCTTATTTTCACAGTTCTAGAGGTGAGGCAGTATTAGATCAAGGGGGAGCATCTGGTGAGGGCCTTCTTTCTGCATTATTACATGGTAGAAGGCAGAAAAGAGTAAAAAGGGGGTCAAACTCACCCTTTTCTCACATTAATCCTGCTCATAACGTTACAGCCTTCATGACCAAATCACCCCTTAAAAATCCCACTGTATACTACTGATACAATGGCAATTAAATTTCAATATGAATTTCAGAGGGGAAAGCATTCAAACAATACCAGTGGTTTTTTAGGGGAAAATACATCCATCATAGAAATTCAGGGATCATACTACTTTATTCACTGTCCCTTAAACAAAAGGCAATGTAAAATAAGATTAAATTCCTTGTGCTTAAATGAATGCCAAATTTAGTTGCCCAATATCCTATGGCTCTATCTCTTATAATTAAATCTAATAAAAATAGGGTTGTATAAGCTTATCCTGTTGAAGAAAAGTTGAAGAAAAAAATGTAGCCTGCCCACCCAGCATTTTTTCAGCAATAATCACTCAAGGCTTGTAGCAAGGTATGATATAGTAAGATCCCTATTGACATGGTATAGTAAAAGATTTTACCACAGTGTCTAAAAATTAAGTGACACAAAAAAGGTCAATGGAGATGCCCCATCTCAAAAACATATTATTGTCCTTATATTATTAGACTCTGCAGCGCTTAGAACAACTGCAGCAAGATCTTTCAGCAGCAGGAGTAATTTAAAATGTAGATAAGAACATAAAGCACATATATTAAAAAATAAAGGGGCCAGGCATTACAAAAGTGGGCTATATGCACAACAAAAATTGTAAGCATTTGAGAAAGGGATACTTGGTAGAGTAAGTCCTGAACATACGTGCAAACACGTAACTTTTATTCCTATCTCTCACATTAAGTTCTTCTACCTACTGATCACATTGTATATCTTCAGGCTTCTGAAACTTCCCCCCCCCCACATTTTCAAGGAACAGAGGAGTAGAGTGAATTATACTATATTTCCAGAGAGACTAAAAAAATTATTTTTATTGATAGTGTATAGTTTAGGAAAGCCCATCATAGAACCATTTTATTTACAGAAATAGGACAACTGATCTGATTTTGATGTTTAAATGCCAGGCATATTCTGGGTTTGAAGTTGTGAGGTAAAAGCATTACAAGTTTTGTGCCTCATATTGTTTTAGGCCATCAGACTTGAGTTTAATACTATCTCCAAAAAAACGTATGCACTTAAGCTCTAAAGAAAAATTTGTTACTGATATTGAAATATTAGTTCAAAATTGGATCTGTTATAGTATGTCCAGATGTCCAATCTACCGCCTGCAGGCCACGTGAAGATTATGTGAGGATGTTTTTGCTTGTCTCTGGTGGAGAATATCGTGAAAATTACACACTGACCTTTTATTTATTTGTTTATTTATTTGCTCATCAGTCTGTGCTAGTTTTTATGTATTTAATATGTGGCC